TTTTCGAGTCAAAAAAAAAAAAAAAAAGAACAAATAGATGGCAAGTAAAGTAAAGTAAAGTTCAAGGACTAATGCCGCGGCCAGTTGCCTTTTCGGTTATGGCGATGATGGCGGACAAGCCACGATGGGCGGCAGACGGGCGGACGTTGAGCACAGGCCGACTTGACTAGACAGAGGATAGGATAGTTGGAACGGTTTTCCAAGTCCTTTTTCTTCGCTTTTGATGATCACCACCAGGTTTAAGCTCTTTCTAGTTCAAAGTCCGTGCAAAACGGTTTCTCGGGCTATAACCAAGGGCTACTACGGGCAGTCGGCGTGGGCAGATAAACTAGATACCTTTTTGCTGACGAAGAAGGCGCGCCTCGTTTCTTGTTTGACCCGGATTGTTCAAGCTGTGGGCTTCATAGACCCCCTTGTTGGAAACAAATCAAGAGGGACTTGCTCACCCCCGGGGAGAGAGAGGGAAGCCGCAACTAATAACACGGGATATGAAGTAATGAAATGTTATTAGTACCAACGGACGGTGGACGGTGACAGTCCAGCTACCTACCAGTAGTTCGTCCCGAGGACCAAAAAGTAACGTGGCTCACCTTGCGTCTCAAGTCTTGTGCAACCGATATCCCGCTTCTTTTTGTAGATTTTTTTTTCTATTTATATCTAAGTTTATTCTTCTTCCTCACGATAGCGAACGCCGAAGACATCGGGGGAGCCGATCTGGGCAAGTCGCACAGACACGGCGTCTGCGCCTCCAGAGTTTCTCATGCGACCCCTGCAGGTACGCCCATGGGCTGGGCTGATGGGAGAGGAGTCAGGTAAAAGTCAGAAGATGGCTCGATGACCATTTTGCAGCCTCCACCAATCTTGGCAAGGAAGAAAAGAAGAACAAGCTGTTGCTAACTAGTTGGCTAGTTGAATTCCTTCTTCACATGAAGAGGAAGCTCGGACCGGGACTCCAAATTTCCGGCCGAGAGCCAGCAAATAAGTTAGTGGCCAAGACGATTCATACCGGCGCCAGTTTAGGCTCTCCTTGACTGCTGTTAGTGCCCTGGAGTAGTCGCATCGTTACGGATGTACTTGGCGCGAGCCTTGTTGCGAGATGTCACTGCTAGCAAGTTGTCGTAGTTGCTCCAATCACCAAGAGTCTCTCGCTTAGTTGGTGTAGTTGGTTAGTTGTTCGGACATCAGACGTCTGACAAGAGGACGGCGGCGGCAGAAGGGCTTACGCCGCTAGGGAAGAATTGTCGATCGCGGCAAATCATGCAGGCTTTCCCTATCACGGTTCCAAAACGTGTCAAGGAACCTATGGAGAATGGGATGGTGATCCCCTTGTTTAGTTAGCGTGTTGCGAGCGAGCACCTTCTGAATTTGGACCCGGGCTCGTATCGTACAGTATCTTTTGTACCTGAAGGCTCTCACCTCGGCAAGGCTTTATCGGGCCACCTAACTTGTCTTGTCGTGCGACTGTGGCTCACTCTCAGGCGAGGCGGCAAGGTACAAGGACCGGCGTTCGGTGAAAAGAGACGAAGTTGGTCTAACTGTTGGTCTAGTCGTCTGTCCAGTCGTATGCAAGCATCACATCCGGACGACAATCGTCCCCCGAAAAGCTAGCGCCGATGGTCTTGCTCTTACCGGTATCCGTACAGTGCTGAAAGAAATTTATTCCTTGCAATCCACTTACTAGGTACAGTAGGTGCCACACGACCAACTGTTATTAATGGCAATTAGGCGAGAGGGTACTCGGAATTTGGCTAGATGTTTCCATCCTACCTACTAGTTAAGCTTGGTAGAGAGTTGTTACATGCCGTAGATGCCGTCGGCACCTGAAGATTCCGCTAACTAACTTATGTACTAACTATGTATGTATGTATGTACAGTACATACATAGTTAGCGGGAGTCGCCGACGTAGCTAGCGTACCTGAGTATGTATGCAGGTAAGGTCGCCTCAAACTCTGATTTTTGGCATGTCGCCCTTTCATGCTCTGTGCCTGATTCCCAATGGTAGTCGGACCTGTGCGACCAGAAGCCATGCTGCCTGTCATCAAAAAGGGGAAATGGTGCAGAAGGATGGCGTCTTCAGCTCTACCAGTAACTGTACCTCTTCTCAGCAGCGCCCACCCGCTGAATAATTAGCGAGGCGGCTGGCCAGGCTCCCTGCCAGCCTGCCTTGGTAACATACTGTACATTGTACATACTCTACCGCCACCAGTTCAACACCAGTCAACAGTGCCGGGTTTTCGCCAAGCATCGACAGAAACAGTTGACCCCCAAGTCTATCCGATGAGATAAGCGTCATTACGTACAGAACGGCAACGGCAGACTTTCGGCAGCTTTGTCCGGTTCGGCCAGCACAGACGCTGCCGGCCGACCAGCCCCCTAGCCTCCGGAAACAGAAGGAAAACCCCTTCCTTGTCTCTTCTTTCCTTGTTAGCCGGTGCAGGGGATTCCGGCAGTGATGAGAAACAAGAGCCGGGCTACATACATACATACATAGGTGGGTGGGGGTGGGCCAATCTTTGCTCTACCATCAATTTTTTCGTTGCCTTTTCTCTCCTCCATGCCCTTCATCACTAGCATGGCAAGGGTCGGTCAGCAGGAATGAGATGGCGGATAACCAGGGTGGTGCTGATAGAAAAGTGCCGGACTTGTCTGAGAGCATGTCACGATGATGCACCGGCGCCGGCCGCCGCTGTTCCTTGAATACGATCCTCATTTACCGATCCTCTTGTTACTCGATTTTTGTCATGCCACTTGCGCTGTATCTCATTCCTCAGAAACTCAGAAGCCGCCGCCACAAGCCTCGCCAAGCAGATGGGCCGTATTAGTTAACAGGTACTCGAGAGAGCCATCGGCGACCTCTAAAAAGCCGAGACAAGGGAGTTTTCTTTTGGCGCCGGGCTATTTTATTGTTTTAGTCAATATGCCACTGGCATTTGACGTGAAACACCCCATCGTGAGTACGGCAAGTAAAAGCTGCGACTGTACGCCCGTTAGCCGAGTCGGGTTTCAACTCAACAATCGCATCCCTACTACATACCTACATACAGATATCCTATCAAGTAACTCAGTACTCACGCCGACGACCGTCAAGCCCCTCCGAGTCTCTTTGCGTCGTCTTGCATCATACCGGTGACACGCAAACGACGAAACCCACTCGAAGAAACGCATGGCACCCCCGTCAAAAACCTGCAATAATATACAACAACAGAAGAGAAGCAAAAAGACACTGTCACTGTCACTACAGGTTGTTCCAGTTTGGGCATCATCTCCGTACAGCCTGTCCCACGGCCGGTGGCACCCCCCGCCCCGTCCAAAAGAGGCTCTATGGTGCGCTCGGAACCTATGAGACGGCTCAGACGGGTTCGCCCCAGATGACACAGAAAACTACCGGCTGCCCCCCTCTACTCTTCCGATTCAAGTCCCATCCAATTCTCTCTTTTAGACTCACCCCCTCCCCTCCCTACTGCCCTTGCCAGAATGGTCAAGATGGCGAGCCCCGAAGCCAGGCAAGGCTCGTTCACTACCGGGTTCGGAGTTCGCCAAGTGGCATGGCATGGGCATGGCATGTTATCGTCGCCAGGCCCGTTATTACAGGGACCTTTTATTGTTCGCTTCGATTGGTTGACGGGACTTTGCAGAAGAGAATAGCGAAGATGTTGGTCTCGGCATGCAAGTTCAGACTCACTGAGATACATACGTTATCCATACCACTAATTCGTACGTACAGCGGTGTCTCACGATCCAACCCTCCTTATGTCGTCTCAGCGAACAAAGACAATCTTAGCGCCGGCATTTCGAAATCTCAAAAGCATCGACGCATGTGCCGAGCGATTGAATGACGTGTTGCGTGATCGTCTTCCTTTTTTACTCCGTATTATCCCTCCCAATCACTCGCTCAACTTCATTCTCGGTCCCCGAATTGGTGCGACAAATCCCCGCCCCATTTTCATTTGCGATTTGTCTATTTTTATATTTTTTTTTATACTTTTTTCCCCTTCAGGGCGCTCAGCTACCAACACCAAACTAGCCGCAAACACTCTAGACACAGCACCTCTCGCATCACCCATCCCGTTTTCTGCATTTGCCGAACTCCATCAAGCCCGGCCGCCCTGGACCTTCTTCCTTTGGTGGTAGCTGAAGCAGCAAAAAAAAAAAAAAAAAAAAAAAAAAAAAAGACGGACCAGAAAAGCCAGCCCCCCACTGAAGGTGAGTGAGCGCCCATGAGTTTTAACCCACAAGCCATCTCTGTCTGT